AGAGCAACTCTAAATAAGCAAATCCCCGGGGAGTCTGTATGCATCTGCTCGGGCTGCCATAACACAATACTACACACTGGCTGGTTTATTTTTTCACAGTTCTCGAGGCTGGAAGGCCGCGAACAAGGTGTTGTTGGGGTTGGTTTCTCCTGAGGCCTGGCTTCCTGGTTCGCAGGACACCCCCTTGCTGTGTCCTCACATGGCCTTTTGCCTGGTGTCCCTTCCACTTCTTAAAAGGACAATGGTCCTATGGGATTAGGGCTCGTCCTTCTGACATAATTTAACCTTAAATACTTCCTTAAAGGCCCCATCTCCAAATACAGTCACATCAGAGGTTAGGGCTTCACACACACATTTTTTGAGGGACACAATTCAGTCTGTAATAGGGGCCTTTACTGTTCCCAATTAGCCAGAGTTACACAGGCAGCGAGGACAGGTCTCTGCTGCCCTCTCGGGGTACGGGGAATGATCATTAGGACTAGCAGGTGTGATCTACTTTTCCAAGCAGGAGTCAACACAGCAGATTAATGAGGGGCGTGAAGGGCACATTTAAAAATCTATGATGAAAGTATAAATTAGTATAATTTTGGGGGGAAGTAATTTGGCTGCTTTTTCTTCTTTTTTGTGTGTGACTGTATGGTTTAGGGATCCAAACCCTTGACCTTGGTGTTATAACACCATGCTCTAACCAAATGAGATAACCAGCCAGCCCTATTTTAAAGAGTCATAAAAATGTCCACGCCTTTTGACCTACTAATCCAACTTCTGGGAAGTCATTGTTAGGAAAAATTTCAAAAGAACTTTCCGATTGAAAGCTTATTTACCATGATTAAAAAACAGGATTCAGGGCCGGCCCGTGGCTCACTCGGTAGAGTGCGGTGCTGATAACACCAAGGCCGCGGGTTTGGATCCTATATTGGGATGGCCGGTTTGCTCACTGGCTGAGCGTGGTGCTGACAACACCAGGCCAAGGGTTGAGATCCCCTTACCGGTCATCTTTTTAAAAAAA